CCACCTGTGTAATGTATGGGGCCACTAGTTTGTCGGTTGAGGTTCAGGCACCTGAGGCCCGCCCTCACGTTCTCGATTTGTGGGCGTCTCGTGGTCCGGGTGACCTGCAAGTTTTGGCGACGGGAGTTGCTTGCAGTCCAGCGTGCCTAAATTTTCGCGGGTTGGGGCTGGATGGGGTGATGTCCACCTCGCCTCTCTCTTGCCTATTCGAACGATGTGTGGAGCGTTGCCCGGGGCCCGCCGAGCCATCGCCCGCGCGGGGCTTTGGGCCGCGAGGCAGACTTTGTGGCGCGCGCCCTGCACTAGCGAGGCTGTTTCGGACCTTGGAACTCTTGCGACCGTGAAGGTTCTCCCGGGACTGCTAAGCACGCGTCCATGTGGACTGGAGTTTCTAGGCGGCAACAAGCGCGCCCCTCTCCGTTTTATTTGTGGTTCCTCGCCCATCTGACCACAGACGAGGCCATCGCTCAAGGCGTTTCCCTGGAGCATTGGGCTGGGGACTTCTGGGCGGTTTCTGTTCGCGCAGCTCGGCTCGGATTCTCACCGTTTTTTCTGATGGTTTCTCTAAGGCCTCGGTGGGGGAGCATTCATGCCGCAAGATGACCATGTAATTCTTGGTGTGGGCTGCATAACGTGTGCTGCAAAGCCAGGGTCGGACTGGTGACCATGATGAGGTTCTCGTTTCGCTTCAGCCCCCTCGCCCCCCCACCCTCTCGGTCACCAGCCGCGCGATCGGGCATGGTGCTGAGCTGGGGGAGAGGGAGTGCCGCGATTGCGGCAGATGGGCTCGATCTTTGCTCTCCCTCAGTGCCATGCTGAGCCAGAGAGCCAACAAGCACTGCCTACCCTCACCCGTTCAGAGGCTTGCGAATGATGCCTGGTTTAGAGCTCCTGGAGTCATGTTCAGTGTGTTTCGAGCCAACGCGGTGCACGTTGCGGTGCAGGCCGCTGATCGGCTCACTCACGATGAGGTCCCAGGGTCTGAGGAGTTCCAGGGATGCCGCATTTCCGATAATCCTGGGCCCGGGCGTTATTCCGAATTTGAGACGCTGGGCCACGCCGTGCTTCGTGTTGGTGAGTACTTCTGCTGCCGCACGTCGCGGCAGTGTCCCTTGTTAAGCTTGCTTATCGGTGCAAAGGCTTTGCCGGCAACGCCTCCACCAGAGCGGGCCAGAGGATGACAGTTCGCAGGTTGGAGGCAGGTGAGCATCCCAAGACGGGTGCTAAACTCGTTTAGTTGTTGTCGCCCCCTGGTCGCCCGTCGTCGTCCTCCCACCCCCGCATATTAGGCTCCGCCACCAGGGGGCGGTGGGCTTGACGGTGGGACAGGCGGGGCCTTCGTTTTTCCAATAGCAGGCGCTCCTCCGCTAGGGGGTATCCGTGTAGGGGCCTACGAAGAGGTAGCTTGGAGGGATGGTTTATTGCAATATCGTTGATGGGTCTTGGGTTTGCACTTGTCCTACTCCTCCTCCTCCTCCTCCTCCTCCTCCTCCTCCTCCTCCTCTTCGTCTCCCCCCTCCATCTCGCGGCCCTCCTCTGTTCCTCCTCATCCCCCTCTCCATCCCGCTCCCCATGTCCCGCGCCCAGTCGAGCGGCTCCCTCCTCGGCTCCTCCCACGATGAGTCTGCCGTTAACGACCAGGCCCCGCTGGGCGCTGGCCGCGCGGCCAGCGGGCGTGCGGTTCGCGCCGTTGAGCGCACGTGGCGCGGGGGCTCGATAGGGATAGGGGAGAGCGAGGGGAGCACTGGCAAAGGAATGAGGAGGGGGATGCATGGGGATGGGGAGCAAGATGAGGCGGAGGAGGAGGAGGAGGAGGAGGAGGAGGAGGAGGAGGAGGAGAGGAGGGAGGAGGAAGGAGGAGGAGGAGGAGGAGGAGGAGGATAAGAGGAGGAGGAACAGAGGAGGAGGAGGGGAGGAGGAGGAGGAGGAGGAGGGTAGGGAGGATAGGGGGAGGAGGAGGAGGAGGAGGACAGAGGGAGGAGGAGGAGGAGGGAGGAGGAGGAGGAGGAGGAGGAGGAGGAGGAGGAGGAGGAGGAGGAGGATGTTGTTGTAGCAACGGTGCTCCACTCTCAGAAAGAAGCTACTCTTCCAGCTCGGATCCACAAGCCTGTACGCGCAACGGCGGGCAAGGCCACAACTCAGAGCAACAGATAAACCGCCAGAGTTAGCATCGCGCACACTCTGAGACATCGCACTTCTTACACACCAGCCGCCAGACACCTGCGCTAATGGCTGTGCCTTTCTGGTCGCATTCATACTCACGCTCTGCCATGCCACACTCTCAGCCATGGACATGGACTTCATGCCGAACCCGTTCGGGGAGAACCACTACGATCTCTCGCTCTCACGAGGCCGTCCTCTCTGTCCATGTCGCCCTCGCTCGCGGTCGTCGTGGACTCCTGCGGCATCCTGGCCTCGGTGCCTGCGTCACGAGCGGCTCCTCCTTCGGCTTCCTCTGCTCCTTCGTGCATGGTGCATGGTCAGAGTCATCGACGAGACCCGCGGACTCCAACTTCGCCTCTTGCCAGTAGGTCTGATGCACTGCTGTAGCGATATGTCGCGCTAAGATCTTCACACCGTGCTTGAACTCCCCCCCCTGCGAAAGTTCCCTAGTACAGGCCATGACGCAGGCAGGAGCGGCATGCTCCAGAGCGTCGACCTGCCTGACCTCGATCCGCGGCGCCTTCTGCAACCTCCAGGTCCTTCTCGGCAGCCGTCGCGACTGAAAAACCTGCAGCATCTGCGTGCAGCGCTACGTTTCGTCGCAACACCTCCAGCCTCGCATGCTGCCTGCCCGCCATCAGAGTCTTTAGCACAGGCGCCACAGCAGATCCTGTCAGCGATCTCCGCATCGCCGTCTGGCTGCTCAAGCCAGGCCTCCACGCTCTGTAGCCCGGATCGCGCCCTGCTGAGGCTCCCGGCTGAGCTCGAGGATCGCGCGATCGGCCGACTCCCCGGCCCAGCGCCGTCGCCCCCTTCGCTGGGCTGCCTCTCTCCACTTGCGCGCACCTCCCGCACCGTCGTGCCATCGGCGCAGTGCCCGCCCCAGCCGTGCCGGCGCTGGCGCCCGCGACCCGCACCGGAGCACCGGACATGCGATGGCGTGAGGAGCAGAGGGTTGTCTTGGGTAAGAGCAGCTTGAGCCCAAATTGGTACGGAGGGACGACGACGACGACCACGACGACGACGACGACGACCACGACGACGACGACCACGACGACGACGACCACGACGACGATGACCACGACGACGACGACGACGACGACGACGACGACGACGACGACGACGACGACGACGACGACGACGACGACGACGACGACGACGACGACTACCACGACCACGACCACGACGACGACGACGACCTCGACCACGTCCACCTCGACCTCGACCTCGACGACCACCACCACGAGCACGATGACGACGACGACCACGACGACCACGACGACGGGATCGCGGGGGGCCAAGGAAGTCGGGGAGAGGTGGGGACACCGTCGAGGACTTGGCATCGCTCGGACGTGTGCGTTGTGTCTCGGCGAGGACCATCGAGGAGCCTTTGGGCCACCTTCCGAGACAATACACGTCCGAAGCCAAATACTGCACGGGAAAAGGACGTCCGAGCGATGGCGAGGGGAAGCTCTCGGCGATGCGGGGCAGCGCCGGGGCTTGGCGACGCCGCTTCGGGGCGAGCGGCGGCCGGGGCCGCCTGGAGGTCCGGGCGCCGCTGCCGCCGCCGCGCGGGCGCCTCACCCCGTGGTGGTGGGGGGGGCTCCTCTTTAGCACGCCACCTATGTTATGCACAGTGTGCGAGGTTTCTTACACTGCCTTCGGCAGTGCTCGATCGCAATTCGCACTTCCATCTGCTGCAAGCGCTTGGGGACCCTCTGCACCGCCGGCTTCAAAATGGTGGGGGCCCAGGATCAGCCGTGCAGACCCTCAAAAGGCCGACATCCACGCCCGATCGGGCGAAGCACCTGCTCTGCTCTCCTCTGCTTCTGTTTCTCCCCCTGGGCGGGGTCTTTGTTCAGTAGCCCCTTCGCGTGGTGGCCCGCCGACTATGGTCCCCGCCAGACATCATCATCATCATCCTCATCCTCCTCATCCTCCTCCTCCTCCTCCTCCTCCTCCCCCTCCTCCTCCTCCTCCTCCTCCTCCTCCTCCTCCTCCTCCTCCTCCTCATCAACATCATTAGCATCATCATCACTAGCAGCATCATCATCACCATCAACTTCATGCTCATCATGCTACTTATCATCATCACCTCCATCATCACCATCACCATCATCACCATCATCACCTCCATTTTCATTAGCATCATCATTGCCATAATCATGACCATCATCATCACCATCATTATCTCCATCATCAGCATTATCATTATCATCATCATAATCACCACCAAGACCATCGTCGTAAAAATATCAGCGGCATCATCAGCATCAACGCCAACATCATCACTAACATCAGCAGCACCATCCGTTTCCGTGTGTCATTACCATCACCACCACAATGGTACCACGATCACCACCACCACCATGCTCATCAGCATCATCATCATCATCATCATCATCATCGTCATCATCATCATCACCATCATCACCATCATCATCATCATCATCATCACCATCATCATCATCATCATCATCATCATCATCATCATCATCATCATCATCATCATCATCATCATCATCATCATCATCATCATCATTTCATCATCATCATCATTGTCACCATCGTCATCATCACCATCAGCATTCATCACCCACATCATGAATCACCATCACCATCACCATCACCATCACCATCACCATCACCATCACCATCACCATCACCATCACCATCATCCATCACCATCACCATCACCATCACCATCACCATCACCATCACCATCACCATCACCATCACCATCACCATCACCATCACCATCACCATCACCATCACCATCACCATCACCATCACCATCACCTCGCGCGTCCCCGCGATCTCTCGGCTTCCTGGCGCGCAGCGCGTGGAGCGCGCGCCGTCTCCGCCTGCCGGTCCGCACTGGCACCGGGCCCAGCTGTGCCCAGATGTGCCAGGGGTGGCCCGAGAGTCTCTCTGCCCTCTGCCTGTCTCGGTGGCCTCCCTTTCTCCCGGGTTCCCCCCTCGCCCACTATGTACCCTCCCCCCCCCCCCGCGCTCTGGCCTTCGTCTAGAAGGCCACGGCTCCCGTCCCCCAGCCCCCTTGACCTCCCCCCTGCCCTCCCCGCGGCCCTTCCTCCCGCGCTCCCCTGGCCCCCGATCCCTCCAGATCTGCCCTCTCCTCGCTCCGCGCTCTCCTCCAATGACCCCCCCCGAGTCCGCGTGACGTGCCGCCCGATCTAGATCCTGCGGCCCGCGCCCCGCTCCGATCGGTTGGCTCCCTCCGTCACTGGGTGCTTCGGTGACTCCCTCGATCGGACCAGGCCCTGCTGAGCCTGTCGCGCTCGGAGGGGGGGAGGCAGGCGGAGCGGGAGCGAGGGCAGGCCGGGGTGACGGACCGATCGACCAGATGTGGGGGGAGCATCGGATGGCCGAGGGCCGCCCCGACTTGGTCAGTAAGCGTGGCGATGGCCCGGATGACGCAGAGGAGGCCCAGCACGTCCCAGAGGACTCTCGTGTACGGTCGGGCGCCGACTTCACGCGGTCTCAGCCTGCTCCTCCTGTCTCTCCTCGCGCTGTTTTCCCTCTCGCTCTCGTGCCTCGACTCGCTCCCGGTGCGCCCCGCCACCTGCGGACAGGCGCCCGGTTGTCTTGGACCAGCTGGCGCCCGCGGGCTGAAGAAGGTGCAGTGGGTGGCCCGAGCGGACTGTCGGGCGAGGCAGCATCGGGGGAATGTGCTGATTTGAACCACGGGCCTCGCGGAGCCGCGCGGGGTCCTGGGTGCCCATCTTCTAGGTCCTGGGGCTGGCGGCTCACAAGGCGCAGGGTCCGGGAGGGGAGCGAGGGTCCTTCCTCCCTCCCTCTCGTCTCTCCCTCCCTCCTTCCCTGCTCCTCCTGTCTTCCTTCCCTCCCTCCTGCTCCTGTTCCTGCTCGTTTTCCTCTTCTCCTCCTCCTCCTCCTCCTCCTCCTCCTCCTCCTTCTGCTTTCTTGATCCTCTTCGTCCTCCTCATGACTACTGCTCATCTGGGGAGCTGGTGACGAGACGCAGCTTCAGCTCGACCCAAGGATATGCGACGAGGGGAAGGAGTAGGAGGCGTAGGATGAGGTGGAGGAGGGGTCAAGTTAGTCAGGTCGAACAAGTCAGCGGGCCCCGCCGATGCCCAACCTCCCTGCCGCAACATAGTAATCAATTGCGGCGCACTTTGGTATTAAGATTCGACCGCGTTTCAATCCATTTAGGGAGTGGAAGGCGTAGGAGGAGGTGAGGCAAAGAGCAGCAGCTCGAGGAGGAAGGGTGGAGGGATGTAGGGGGAGGATACGGGAAGGGGAGGAGAACGGAGGTACGTGGTGAAAACTAGAGGGATAGAGGAGGATGCGTAGGAGCAGGTGGACGACGACCATGATGATGCTGATGGTGCTGATTCTGATTATGATGATGGTGCTGGGAATGATGATGATGCTGATGATGCTGCTGATGGTGATGATGACGATTCTGATGATGCTGCTGATGATGATTACGATGATGAGCAGGACCACGACCATGGTGATGATGCTGCTGCTGATGATGTAATTGCTGATGATGAGGATGATGAGGATGCTGATGCTGATGATGATGAGGATGTGGATGAGAATGAGTATCAGGATGAGGATTATGATGATGCGGAGGATCATGATGATGATGATGATGATGATGATGATGATGATGATGGTGATGAGGACGAGGATGATGAGGACGATGATGGCTGATTATATAGTGATCATGCTGACGATGCTAATGATGATACTGCTGATTATGATTCTGATGATTATGATGATGATGACGATGATGATGATGGTGATAATGGTGGTGATGATGCTGATGATGATGCTGCTGATGATGATGATGACGGTACTGAGGATGATGATTGCGATACTTCTGATGATGCTGCTGATGCTGATGATAATGTGTGATGATGAGGATGATACTTGTGACGACGATGCTGGTAAGCATGACGATGCTGAGGATGATGCTGATGATTATGACCATGCTGCTGATAATGCTGCTGCTGATGATGATGCTGATAAGGATGATGGTGATGGTGATGATGCTTACGATGGTTCTGATGATGATTATGATGATGATTGATGCTGATGCTGATGCTCATGCTGATGCTCATGCTGATGCTCATGCTGCTGCTGATGATGATAATGCTGATGATGCTGATAATGATGATGACGATGATGCTGCTGATCATGATGATGATGATGCTGATGATGCTGATGCGGTTGATGATGATGATGATGATGATGATGATGATGATGATCATGATGATGATGATGATGATGATGCTGATGATGATGGTGGTTATGCTGATGATGCTGTTGTTGTTGATGGTGATGATG